GCTGTTAATATATAGACATCAATGTATACGTATATTCACCATTAGTTGAGTTATCACATTGATAAGCGTGCCACAGCCGTGCCTTATCTTCTGACATGTTTATTTGTGCCAGCAAATTGATTAACTTTTCATACACATATCTTATTTTCTGACATATTGATTTTGACCAACAAATTGATTATTATAGACAACTATGGAGTATAGCTGTCGTTCATGACCTATACTTTATTTTCTGAAATATTAATTGAGTCATCAAATTGATAAGCGTGTCACAACCCATGCCTTATCTTATGCCATGTTTTTTTTTTGTGTCAGCAGATCGATTAACTTTTGATAGCCATATCTTATCTTCTGACATATTTATTGTGACCAACAAATTGATTATAATAGACAACTATTGCATATAGTTGTCATTCATGTTACTTTATTTTCTGACACATTAATTGAATTATCAAATTGATAAACGTGCCACAACCCATGCTTTATCTTTTGACATGTTTATTTTGACCAGCAAATTGATTATTATACACAACTATTGCATATAGTTGTCATTCATGACCCATAATTTATTTTCTGACACATTAATTGAGTTATTAAATCGATAAACGTGCCACAACTCATGTCTTATCTTCTGACATGCTTATTTGTGTCAGGAAATCAATTAACTTTTCAGAATCATACTTATCTTCTAATATTTATTTTGACCAGCAAGTTGATTAGTCATTTTGTTTAATAGACAATACACCTGTCAAATACAAAGAACAATTTAAGTGGAAAGACATACTACAAATTTAATTTCAAACAAGAACAATTTAATGAAAGACCGACTAACAATTTAACAAGAACAAGAACCACTTAAATGAATACAAGCTAAAAGTTGAATACATCCAATCAAAACATACAGAAATACAAAGATGATTAAAACAGATAATACAACGTCTAAAAGTTCCATCTCTCTCGAATACTTGACACATTTTTTCATGAGAAATACGTTGCTCTTGGGTCATGTGGCTTGTGTCCATCATTTAGATATCATAGTCTTTCCGACGATTTCTCTGCTTCTTCTCCTCAAGAGTAACTTTTTTTTAATTTCAACTTCAGCTTTTTTCAAGCTAGTTAACTCAGCAAGATGCTTAACCATGTTGTTGTATTCTGTGGCCATCTCATCAAGGTTAGATTTGCCTTTGCCCTTGGCCTTTCGTTTGGCTGCCTTCTGGCCGATAGGGCGAGCCACTTCATGAATATCATCTAAGTCAATGCTGGCATCCCCCTTTGATGAAGTATTGCTGGCACCAGACTCAACAATTCTCGTCTTTTTTCTCTCAACAAAAATATCATTAGAACACTGTGGGGTGTACATAGGACCCTCAGCGCTTTCCTCCTCGAAGTGGTTGCTCCGGAGCGAGGTAGCATCGAGGCTTGTTAAAATAGGGCCAATACTTTTTTGATCTTTAAGGATTCTCCATACATGCTTAAGATTGAAAGCTACACCATCATTCTCAATACGATATTTTTCGTAACCCCGACTTAATATATCCTCATCACTACAACCACTCCGATAAACACTGTAGATACTGTTATAGCACTCATTTGAATCGATACACCTTTTTTTGAATGTATTATGCCAGTGAAATCTTATTATATTAGCATTTTTGTGAATATAATCAGAAGGTCTTTTTTCGTTATAATAATTTGCAACACGTACCCAAAACGCGTCGGCCTTCTGATCATTACCGGTAATTGGATCGTCACTTATTGTCACACAAGCTTTTGCCAATTGCACATCCTCTTCCTTTGTCTATTGTGGACGTTTTTTCTGGCCTTCAGCAGCAACGCGTGTATTTTTTGAGATTTCAATATTAATAGTTGCTTCACGATGGAATTGTGTTTGTGGAACGTAAGTTTGAGTATCGAATTCTTTCCTCCTTTGGGATCCGAAAGATTGACTCGATTGTTGCGGAGAAGATTGCACCAGATTTTGACTACTCATGTATTGTCAATATTCAGGCGGCAGGTTTTGAAATAAAACTTGTGGAGGATATTGTGAATATTGAATATTGGTGGAATTTGAATAATTTTGGGATTGTTGTTGCATAAAAGGAAAATTTGACAGGAATTGTGGAAAAAATTGTGCAGGATAAGGAGTTTGTGAAAATGGTAAATTCGGCGGAGTTTGTGAAAATGGTAAATTTGGCGGAGTTTGTGAATTTTGGAAGAATGGAATTTCATCTGGATTGCTAGGATTAGAACTTGAGAAATTTTGAAATTTTTGCCTATTATTCGGATCCCTTTTTTAAGGCAAATGAATAGTTGCTAAATTTTCTGGTGTAAAGAGAAGTGAGAAATTTTTTGGTGCAAGAGAAGTGACAATTTCAAGTGTATTTATAGGTAAAAAATGGGGATAAAAAATAAATAAAATGTAAAAACAAAAAGAAAGAGTTAAATAAATATTTATTT